TCCGCTTGATGAATAGCCATTCAGCTCAGTGTTTACCCGTGGAATTCGGCCACTTTCCACGGAATCATGTACCCAAAAAGAGATAAAATATGATGGCAATGGCATTACGTTTTCTTTTCCTGCATGTTTCGTTAAGGAGTTGATGGTACTGCAGGGGCTAGACTTGGAAGGTGCGGCGTTTGTGTCTTGCCATGTAGATATTCTAGTATGGAGGAAAAACGTAGGAGAGAGAAGTCGGAGAATTCAATCAGACGATTTTTACCGCTACCAATTTAATGCTTTTAAGTACACCACAATTAACTTAATAAATGAAGACTGCGTGCGCGGGAAAAAGTCTCCAAAAACCTGCAGCCCCATCCAGGCGAGGCCTGGATACCTGGACCAAATGAAGTGCGCATATTCATCTATATCTCCCTTCTTTGTGACATTCGAGGCCGACTTGATCCAATCCAGCATCTCCGTATCAGGTGCTGGGTAAACTCTGGAAACTCATCGGATGGCTTTTCCTCCATGATCAAGGGTTGGTGACGAGTAGGGCTTCGACCCCACCATGTGATCAGATCGTGGTTAGTTTCATGATAATGGTGATCGGGAGATGTGTTGTGGATGAAGACGATGGAGACCGGGAAAGCGACTGGGAATCCTCGTCGAAGTGAGGACTGTATTACTTAATCTCGGTACTGCAGACTCTACAGTGAGAGCTGGACGTTCGTAATGGACAACACTGACAGCTGTTGAGAATGGTCCCCCTCACATCTACCTTTTGTCATAACTAAATCTCGGCTGTGAGGGAACATTTCACCTTCATATCATTGAGGGCACCACTGGTAGTTATTTAGCCTTTAACTTGTGAAAATCAGCAGAGATATTTATACATTTTTAAAGCTGACCGGGCTTTAGGCAAAATTTAAACTTAGCGCCGAGGGACTAAGATTAAGCAGCAGATGTTTATTTAGAGTATTTGACGTCGTACTCCTCACGTACCGGTTAGCTCAGTCTTAAAAAAAACTACCCGACGTGTCGGCGCCCACACAGATCCATCAAAGCAAATAAAATCCCGGATCTTCTCATCCAGCGCTCGAAGAATATAGTACATGTGGATGTCGTCCTTCCGACTAATCTCATGATTCGTAGATAGTATTCGATGAAGTAAAAATTAAAAAAAATTAACTGAGAAAATTTGCCACATCAATTGGTGATTCTGTTCTAATCAAACTTGTAGTTGTGCCCTTTCGAGGAAATTTGTGGCAGGCAGCCAAGTATCAAATGCAAGAACTCCCTCCTCTGAATCTGAAGCTCAAGAGTCGATGCAAGAACTAGCAGAATTATACACATGTATGAAAGATCCGAGCAACAATAACAACGTGAGTATGCCTAATACGAAGAGCATAGATATCAAAAAACAACGTGATCTGACCATGTTATCTTTCAGCATCAACCTTGCTAGTGTTAGCTATCACCTGATTCTATTTTCCCTGTAGTCCACTAATGCGAGCATGTCCCTGATGATAACTGGTCCCCTAGCCTAGCGGATACTCACAGATACGACCTAGGACTCCAAGGCCGCAGTGTTTGACAGTAATGAGGGTCCAAGTGCATAACCCATACTGCATAGTTTACTCGCACGAAGGCTCGATGTAAGTGAATAAACCTGGCCCGTATAATGTGGTTATGATGAAACACGCCAAGATATTTTTAACGTTTGTACTTTGACTGCCGGGTTCAGAGGTAGCGCATGCACCATCACTCTGATAATACTGGGTAGCACGTATAGTTAGGAGGCTAGGCGGCTAACGTACACATACAACTGCAACGTAGCAAGAGCTGAATTTCCTATCCTGGTTAGAGATCACTACATACCACCCGTAGCCCATTGACTTCACAGAATTTATGCCGTCTTATCTGAGGATAGGCCTCTAGTGTGTGTGAGGTTGAAGCTGAAGCTGGGTGCTATGTTGTGTCAATCGTGAACAGCTGCATGTCCATCGGCTCTCATTCTGTCATCGCATGCACAACGATGTCCAGACCCTTTGATTCAAGGGGCCCAGTACATTTTTGTACCCTGCCCATGTCGTGCACGGCTATCTGATCCATATCAGTTAGATGTGGAGAATTGTCAGGGAGTAGGGCTTCGGGAGTACGGAGGTTGAGAACCAGATACTGCTAGGCGTTTAGGCGGTGTGTGTCCTGGTCGCGTGTTATTATGTTGGAAGTCATTATTATGTTATAGGTGCTATTATGTAATCTTAATTAGAGTTAGCGTCATTAGGAGTTTTCGGTTGGACACGAATCAATCAACTTACATCAGACTCAACGAACTTACCAGGCATTCTGTGATATAGATTACAGGCGTGCTTTTAGTTCAGAGTCTACCGTGAGTACATTTAATAACAGTAAATAGAACGCACAGCGGCCTTGATCTGTGCTGCGAGTGATGATTTGGCACGGCCCATTCTCGCCTTAAGCCCCAGTTTTGAAAAACTGTAATCTCAACTGGGATATAGCTGGGGAAAGCTTGCATGCATAGCCGTCTCATGTCGACAAAAGCTGGCCGGAGTTGCAGTGCACTGAAAGGACTGACCATGTACCTGGAGTAATCAAAAATTTCCAATAAACCTCATCTTGTATTACTTCTCTATCGTAATCTACACACCGATTGTTCAGAAGCTTTAGTTGGGGCAAGGCCAATTTACTTGTGGACATCATCGGCTATTAATGGAGTTAACTCACCTCCTTCTCCGACTGAGGTGACCTGAAGATAGGTTGCACATTAATGGCAAGTTTCGTATTTGTATGTCATTTTTGAAAGCTCAGACCGGGCGCCTCTGCGGACACTATCGCCCCTCACTTTTCCATCTGTTTCCGCCAAAGGAAAGTTCTAAAACTCGTGGAACTCCCTTACCGCATGTGTTGTTTTTTTCCTTAAAGATATGAAAAGTAAGGGAAGGGTGTCATAGCAAGTGAGCCAGCGATCTCCCGTCCCTGATAGAATAGATGACAGGGCCTCCCACAACCCATGAATGGAATACCTCGACAAGCATACCACTGCGCCATACGGCCCCATAAATTTGACTATTTATGGTAACTGTAATTTCTCAAACTCCCTGGACCGTCTACTGCCAACGTCCGCACAGCCTATGGAGACAACGAGATCCAAGTAAGAACTTTACTGGCCAGACGTGATCTTTGATTGAGCTATTACTATCCGTCAATTTAGGATTATAAAGGAATACAGCCTAGATGAATACGAAGGTGAAAGTCGACCCATTTGACATAAGAGACGTAGTTGGAATAGCTTTAGCCATCACCCAGAATAGGGCCAAAGTGTCTCTCTATCACTAAGTCATGGAGAATCAGTCATTATAACGTGTGCTTTAATGATTCGAGGTTGTTCGAAAGTATACTGAGCAGGTCGGACTACTGACGTTTTAAATCGAAGATTCAAACTATGACACAGTGTAGTTAGTCGATAGTCTATCTGGAAAGGGACTGCTGTTGAAAATTGGCTGTTGAAAAAAGATATGTTTACTCGTGACAATTTTTCCGGGCAAAGGGCATCAACTTATCTTACTCTACATCTAGAGACTGAGAGGTATACTATATTGTTTGAAGCGACGGAGGCCAAAATGCTAAAAGAGCGCTGGAGCAAAGTCACCTTTTTTCTCTCGGCCCCTTGAACAATCCCTCAGGTCTTAATGTCATGCTGCGCTCACGTGGGGCAAATATCTAGGCTGAGGAGTGTGTTCATGACTAGGCCTATTTGATAGGGGGACCCTAGGTGTAGGAGTGGTCCGAGAGCTAGTAGGGGTTGTCCTCCATTTCCGGCTGCATATGCCCGGCAGAAGGTACAGGCCATGGGATGGGAATGGATGGGCTGATATTACTGTCAGTATCATGTCAGATGCTTTTTGGATCAGGTCTAGTGTAGGCGTTACTGTTGTACTTGCGTCAGTGATTATTCCTGTAGCTTTTGAGAGGGCAAAATCCGTGCCCAGGAATGATTCTGGTTGCATGAGTGTTGTTGCTACGTAATTGGCGCTAGACGTGATCGGATACATACGGCTGATAATGGACTCCCTCCTCGACCGGCTAACATCTCTTCAAGCTTTGCCCTTTAGCCAAGGTATATCACATATTATCGTAGTTTATCTCCGCGAGAATCAGATGGTCGTTACCAGGAAAAATAACACCTGATTCAAATGAATGCACGACAAAAATGACATCGTTCACTGCAAGTTTGTTTGGGTCAGTTTGGCATCCAGTGCAATCAGTTGGGATGGAGGAGAAGCGTAAGTTGAAACATTTTTACTACCTTCCCCACCTCGTACCTCTTTGACATCAACAACCACGACAACTTCTAAAATACAACATATTGACGACAACGATCGAAAGATATGTTAGAATTCGGAACAGGTGTCATGGCAAGAAGACAAGCAACTATAAATCCGCAACAATTGTAGAGAAGGTCCAGGGATGCCCATACAAAAAACTGCATTAGTCATGAGTGAAAGAGGAAGGCTATACTCATGGCCCACTACAGAAATCTGGCGTCGAATATCCAGCTTATTGCCACAAGTCTACATTCACACACGTCTTTTCACTCGGGTCTACTTGTAGCCTTGGCAATCAAGAAGTTTCCTAACTACAACATCCTTCAAACTAGTATCAACGGACTCGCATGAGCTTAAGCGGCGGCTCTCATTCCACATGACTGTAATAGAATATCACCCCAGTGTTCGCGGAATTACAACAAGCAAGCTTATGATCCCATTGTAGTTCATTAACACGAAAACTACACGCACGAGTATTACAAGTGCTACAATGCTCCCCACATCTAGACCACAGTGCCTAGCAGGCAATCGCGGCACATCCTTCTGAAGTTTGAGGTCTTTTCTGGTGGTTTTTAGGTCATGATCACTTTTCGCTGACTCGTACCAGTTGTTGCATTAGGAACTACCTCGCTGGTACTGGCCTCCAAAGTCGCAGAAAATCCAGCTTCAATGATCTGGTACTTACTGTATCCATTTCGAGGGTATGTACATTACTCTATTTGAGCTATCTCGAGATCACTCTAACGACGCTGTAGGACTACCGATGCGCCAGTCCTTGATCACAGGCACCCTATCCGGCATGCCTTTACCCGCTACGGTCACAATACGGCGCATCACCCTATCATTACGCTTGTAACATCCATTGTCGCTGCTGCTATTTTAATATTTCCTTTCCCATTTCTGTACACAAACGACTTTACCAATGGATCCTCCAACTTACCGCATCATGTTTGGACATCTGCCCAACCGTTTGAAGGACCGGCAACGACCTCGGCTGATGTAGTTATGCGTTCGGTCTGGGTACATGGTACACAAATGCGGTCTTCCCCCATACCTATCGGATTTCTAATATCCAATTTTAGGCAGTTACATGAAAGCGCTCGAATCAAATGTGTTCCAAAGAGCTCTTGAAATTCAGGACTATTTACTAGGACCAACAGTCGATTTTGATCCCAGACGGCCCGTTGATAAAATCGATACAGAGTACCCAATGCTTGATCTCACAACCGAAGCACGCGACAAGCTCCACGCTATAAACGGTCTGAGTGATAAGTCATGGTTTTTTCACTCCCCTCTTCAATATTGGTCCTGTTCCATGGAGAAAATAAAAAGCGACAAGGATATTCTCACTACAATAAATCAGAGTGCACGACAGGCTACTTCACTAAATGTGACACTGCGACATTCCATTGTATTCAGCGGAAAGCGTTTTGAAGACCATCGAATTGTCGCCGCTGATGCTCTTGTCATAACTTTGATCCATATGCAGGATTCACCTGTCGGTAGACAATGGGAACGTAAAGCTGAGGAGCTTGCTCTAAAGAGGTCAAAAAAATGGCACCTCTATCCGGAAGATGGCAGATCTCTCTCGAACACACTTTATGAGTTCCGTTTCCAGCCTTTATCGCTACAAGATGACCTTTTTTTAGGAGCTGCTTACGGCCTTACTTTAATTTACTTCTTTCTTAGTCTATCAAAGCTCCGTGCCATCAGAACCGAACTTGGCTTGATTATTGCAATTATTGTACAAATTGCTATCTCAATAATGGCTAGCTTTACTGTCTGCGCGGTCTTTAAGGTTGATTTATCCAAGATACCTAGAGAGGCTTATCCACTAGTTGTACTCACTGTAGGGTTGGAAAATATGTTTAGGCTCATAAATGCTGTAATAACAACACGCTCTGAGGATTCAACTGCTGTTCGAATCGGCGAGGCTCTAGGCAAAACAAGCCATGTTGCTCTCGCCGGAGTCTGCCAGAATCTAGCTATTCTCTGGGTATTATCTCGTGGTGTTTATCCTCAAATTACAGCTTTCTGTACATTTGCAGCTGTTGCTTTGACATTTGATTTTTTTTTCCTGCTGACATTCTTTGCCGCAGTCCTTAGCATTGACTTGCGCCGCATGGAACTTGGAGACGCACTGAATAGAGCTGTCTCTCAACATCATCTGATAGCACCATCGAGACACCCAACTAGACAAGCCTGGACTGATGCAATCCTTAATGGCCAAGCTCCCTTCCCAACCCGAACAGCTGGGACGGTTGTCATGATAAGTTTCGTCTTGATGGCCCAGTGGCATTTCTTTGACAATGAAAGTCTTCTTCAGACGGCGTCTCGACTCTTCTGTCTCGTCAAATTAAATACAGAAATATCACCACTCGCCTCGTCTCTCCCTGCGGTTGATATTCATCAGGCACGTACACCGACAGCATGGCTCAGAATGCAAGATCACGAAACAGCTCACGAAGTCATTAAAGTCGTCAAGCCTCATGCAAACAGCTATATAGCGCGAGTATATGATCCACTTGTATTTGTTGTAAATGGATCAGATAGAACACCAAATGAACTTGGTGTCCGAACTTTTCTTCCGGCTGCCTACGACTTTGCAAAACATCAATTTGGCGTGTTTTTGTTCACTATTGTAATTACTGTGGTTGCAGTATCTCTATTGCTTAACTACCTCTTGTGGGATGAAATAATCGACAGCGACGACGAAAATCGACATGATGACGAACCGCTAATTTCAATTATCAATCTAAGTCGTGGCCATGCTCTAGATATAGCTCTACTTAAAACTTCTAAGGATGGGATACTAGCAACGGTAGGACTAGATCGGTGGGTGAGAATTTGGAATATCCGCAAAAAAATAACAAGCTATGTTATTAATGATGAAGAAGAACCTGTTGATCCCTTTCCTGTCTTAGCATTAGCTATTGATACTAACTCAAACTGGATCGCAATTTTATCAGCAAAGGATAAACTATTATTATGGAATATTCCAGAGCGAAGGTGGGGTCCATCAATGCATGTTCATCTATGCGAACACGCACCTGCGGGGTTTTATTTTGGGCATAACAAGGCTGCACTGATAAATCCCATTCTTCTGATCCGGAGAAATGGGCTAATGTCGGAGCTAAATGTGAGCGAGCGGGAAGAAAAGAAGATTCAAATCTCTCCTGGACCTCTTCTTAGTGTGCACCTACACGCCGAAAAGTACTTGGCTACGCCAAATCCACCGTTAAAGATATTTTCTATTTCTAAGAAGGGCAGTATCCACCAAACATCTCAAACCAAAACGGGATGGAGCTCATCATGCATCGAAGTTCCGGAGCCAAATATTGGGGAAAAGTTTATTTCCATCCTACCAGTCCAAAACTTATCACTTCTGTTCGGTGTCCGAATGTCTTCGGTAGAGTTAATCGACCTATCAAATCTTACAGTTGTCCGTACTTTTCCTACCAAAGCTATACAGCGAAATAGCCTTAGAGTTTTTCATTCTACACGACGAAGATCACAATGTGGGTCACCTGAATTGTGTAGCTTAGTAATTGCCTACACGTGTGTCGATACAGGATCATGTCTCATGCATATTTATCTTCCGCAAATAGAGGGCGACTCCATTTGCTCCAGCGAATATTGTCAGTCTAGAAAATGTAGCAACTTCGTCTGGCGTGAAACAAGGGAGCATCAATTTGAGATTGAAAATCCTGGTCAGTGGGAAGCACTTCAATCGGGCTATTTAATTGGTATTCGAAAGCGAGAAGCTCGATCTCAAGTGAAGGAGGATCTCCCACATACACTACATGCAGATCTTCGGCGTAGAGGTATTAGGTTTTCAAGAAAATTTAATGATAATGCACCGCATTCACCGCCTGAACAAGACCTCTGGGAAGTTTGGGCCATATCAGCTCGTGGCGAAAGATATGCACAACCACTATGTGGTCCAACCGAGCAGGACTACTTACTGATTGGTAGCCTTGGACCCATGCAAGTAATGGGAAGGTATAGCGTTGCAGTTGGCCTAGGAAACATGGTCAAGGTAATATCTGTTGGTAAGGCAAAGTTTGATTGTGACGAAAATTTGAGCGATGACGCGACATTTGCGGCGATGGCTGTGACGAGACGAAGACGTCCTAACCTCTCGAAGAGAAAAAGTCGTTAAACGCATGATTTTACAAGGGAGGTCAGCTGTGGCATTCAGCAGACAGATTCTCATGTGAGTCTAGTACAAATCTAGAGAAAATTTCGGCCACAAGTAGAACGAAAGAAAGTAATGATTTATCTTCGTCAAGTGTAAGGGTGGGAAGTGGTACAATTTTGGGTATGGTGTTGAGCTTTATGTTTACATGTTAAATATACCCTTTCGTGCTGGCTGGTGTTTGGGTGGGATGATGCGTCGGGACATATGCATCGGGACATATGCATCTACATTGAAATTCTGGCGTAGACATCTGAAAGGCCATCTTTTGGGGAAAATAGTGCGAAAATATCAAATTATATGAATTAGTTTTTAGATAGGCACAATAATTATTTGAGGAGCTAATTTATTACCTCGTCTATAAAATTTAGTACAAATTTGTGCAACATATATGACTACAAACTACTTATGTATGAAACTGTTATGGAGACATAACCTTGAATTATGGGAAGGTTCTAGGAAAGTTTAATGCGAAGTTACACGGGAAGGATCAATCTTCTTTGGGGTATACTTTTCTTCTTGATTATGCGCTAGTTTGACTTTCTCCTACTGTTGTCATGATTGGAGTCATGATTAGATCTTATTTTAGTTATGGTTTATCTATGTCGTATTTTGGCTGTACTTGGGATACTGGAGCTACGATATAGTAGCTATCTAGCTTCTCAACTAGTCATATTATCCATACTAGTTACAATAACTTTTTCTCTCCCTCGTGTCTCTTGTCTCAGCCGCCTATCGCCTCGCTAGATCAGTTCACGACGCATATCCGCCATAAATTACCCCTTTGTTGTACTAAGTGCATTAGTCATCGCTAGGGTACCTTCAGTGGATAGCGATCTTCCAATAATGCTGTGCTCGCCGTGACGGAAACTGTGGATTAATAAAGACAAGAGGATCCTGAGGGCGTAGGCCGCAATCATGGGGCAAAATTGGGCCAGACTTTTAGGGCTTGAGATAGCTCGATTGTTGGGTTTGAGCAATAGTGCGATGATGAATTTTCTGGGTGGCGGGATAATTTGCTGAATATGTTATTTGCGATCGGCGCCTTGAACTTGAAACATTATTTCTGTCGGTTTATCTAGTGTGACGAGAGCCAGTGACATAGAGAGAGAGTTGGAAAAGATCTGTTGGAGACGAGGCCCCTGGTATGTTTTGGCACCGGAGTGCGAGGCGTGGAATAGCCAGAGCTAGCGTGGCGCAGCCTGAGCTGGCCAAGACCGTGTCTCGAGTCTAGCCAGGCCCTAATTGTGGGCAGTCGAGGGATTAGGACTGCGGGAGATGAGCATCGGCCTGTTACTACCTAGCAGGAGATCTTGATTTGAATGAAGAGGTTGAAGAGGAGGCGCGGCCGGATCTTTGCGGCCTAGTAATGATCAGGGCTTGATGGTAGTGGTTTGGGGACGAGAAATGAGGCGTCGTATGGAAAGGTCGGTAATAATAGTTGTTTCGGATTGAGGTGGTGGGTCTCTGGGGTCGAACGAACAATCGTTATCCGCCAACAAGCTGTCAATAATCTGCGTCGACCAAATTCCAGGGCCAAGCGTAGTGACTGAATACTTGGCCCACATAACGTCCTTGCGAAGTTGGCCGATCTTCAGTCGCATAAGCTCGTCGCCTTTGCTGAGTTCGCGCAGGCCGTAGGAGCGACTGAGCATCAGTGTCCATTCTTCGATAGGGATTTCAGCCGTCTCGGCCATGCTTCGCACATTCTTGACAGCATTGATTAGGCTCCAGAAGAGGCAAGCCACGCGCTCATATCCCCCGCACACCGTCAGCCAGTCCTCTCTTTCATAAGCAAAGATGGCGGCGCCCGTGCCACAGAAGCGTTGCTTCATCCTCTCTAAACAGCTACTACAACCGCACCAACGGACCTTGCTCGGAGCTTGCACGTGATTGTGCTTGACGCATCGGAGGACGCACCAAACCCACCAACGACAGTGTACAAGGTCCCATTTCCATCGAGGAATACCGACATCTCGGAGTAGCTGGATGCATGCAGCGCGCGAGGGAATAAGAAGATCGTCTTTGGCTTGGCTCGAATGAGTCGGTAGTGGGAACAAATTGGTACTTCTTTGTCCATCAATACATGGCAGATGTTTTGGATGGCCTGGATCTTGGAGAAACCGTCGTTGATTCCACTCTACCCGTAGACTGTGCGAGAAATCTCTTCTTCTTAGCGTCCTGGTATTGGAGCGACCTTTTTTGGCTTTGGCGCTGTGCAACGGGAGCTCGACTGATATTTGAGCGGCTGGAGAGGTCCCGGACGAAGACTGGATCTCTTTCAGGGCCGCGGTAAACTGTTCTTCAAATGGGTTGGCTTCAGTCTCGATTTGGGCACTAACGTGCGGAGTGCAGGCATCATAACATAGAAGCCGATGAAGGGCTAATGGCGTATCAGAGCCACGGTTCGACTTGCGTAGACAGGCTACTGGCGACATACTAGTAGCTGAATCAGGTAGTCCACTGGAGATGAGAGACCATCATCTACATGAAAAGTCAAGATGAACAAGACGGAGGCTTGCTTCTTCTCTAGGATGCATAACGTATGGATATTCGAGCATAGAATCCACAAGAGTTAAAGAGGCTCATGCAAGCTGGTGATGCGGGGAAGGAGTTTCTAGGAGTCCATGAATCCCCTCTACCGGAAGATATGAGGAATAGACGGAATTGATATTGCGCAGCGGAGAGCAAAGTAAACCAGGGGTGAAGGAAGGATGGCATGAAAGATGGTCTTCTGGGATGAGTTAAAGAGAGAACAGGTTATTTACTCGTGATCCCGTCTCGATTGCCAAGCCGGAAGATGAAAGAGATGAAGAAAGACAGAGAGGAGTGAAGGGAGGCAGCAGACGGGAACATTTCGAGTAATTGAGGTGATAAAGTGGCAGATGGGGGTGCATGGGCTGATGACAAATTTAGGGCTAGAAGGGGGACTGTGAAAGGGGGCAAAGTGGGAGGAGTAGGACAAAGAGTGACATGATGCCGAGCGCATAGATTGATCACTTGATGCCTTGGCTGTTGATTCATGCTGGTGGGAGTGCGTAAGGGTTTGTTTGGTTTCTGGCAGCTTTAGTTGGAATTGGAATTGACTCTCTCGATGCGAGGAATTTATTCGGAGTCAAGTAATTCCTGCACGTTCGCAGAGAGAGTGCGGCTAGCCTGATCTAAAGTGACAGTAGCGAGCAAAACCGTGACGACTGCAGTGAGAGGGGTTGCATTAACCGAAATCGTAACAGTCATAGTGGTTTTATTATCCGCGGCTGTCGGGATGGCAATGAGTGTATGAGATTAGGCGCAGGAGTAGGACAGGGTCAAACATGATCCTTATGAGAGATTCTAGGCTAGGAAAGGACGGGCCTACTTTTGTCCCGCGAGCCTCTGTGTCGAAATTGGCCTCCTGAAGGATGGTTAAATCCAGAACCACAGACCTTCTGGCACTTAGGTGGTATGGTTCGCATTCCTAGAGAAGTGAGTGGTATTTGGAGGAAATAAAACTGGTGGTTTCTCTTTCTCTTTGCATCAAAATTCAGGTTCTGGATGTCAGTTACTCGAGCAATCTTGCCGCAGTGGAGAACAGCAAGTTTTAGTAGGTCCAAGCTGAGGACTCAACTCAGCCAACGAGATCTTCGCCTAGTCCTTTGAGTACTTGCGTGATTTCGGTTATATGTTTCCAGAGTGTCGGTTCTAGAAGGTGAAGGAGATTCGATCTGGGAATGTAAACCTGCATAAACTTGCGCCTTCAGGGGGATGAAGACTTGACACGTTTCAGCCATCTTTCCCTATGAGTCCGGGAATAAATTTATCCCGAAGCCGAGTCGATTCAAATTCGCCATGCCGAAGAAATTGGCCCACGATGCAGTAATTCATGGCTCCATACAGGGATACGAGTACTCAACACCTGTCAGCGGTGTCCCCTACGAACCTCTAGCTCTCACTGTGGAGTCGATAGAGCCGAGGTTGGGTGGAACTTTTGTGCTCAATCTATTGAGGATTCCCAAACAGGCTCGCGGTCCATATCGTCTTCTTCTCTCACCTCATCTCCTAGCGCCATTGTCATGAAGCTTACCACGATTAGATTAAGCGACGGAGCCGAAGCCCTACTTACGTTTAGTAAGTAGCTAGGGATGTGTTGCACAGACGTGGAGTCACTCTGTAATATTCGCGGGGATTTGGCATTATGGAAGCACTAACGACTGAGTCATTACTTCTCGCTTAGTCTCGCATAAGTGATACATGCAAATCGTCCAATGCCATTATTCAATACCATTTCTACCGCTGGCAAAGACGAATTCTCCACCTTCCAGTGGTGCTGGTGTAATCGCTCAGTCTGCTCTTCATATCAGGGATAGCCAAGAAGAATCGCATCCGGATCCAAGTCGAAAGCAAACACTTGCATATTTCCATTTGACGACTTCTCAATTATGCAGCACTCACCATTATCATCCGAGTCCTCAACCTCTTTCCAACCACATATCATCTTGCCTCGACAACCAAAAAAAGTATCACCCCATTTGCAAACAGGAGCTTGCCTCAATCATTACCGGCCATCACTCACTACATATTTACGACGCTATTAATACCCGCAAGGAGGAAATTAAATCACAATATACAAAGTTGGGGTCTTGGTGTATGGGGGATTGATGCTCTAGTGGGGCTATACACCTTGAGGAAGGACAGGCGGCTGAGATGTGGAGCGAGAGAGGGAACAAGTCTCTGAAGACTATGCTGGGACTGACATTTTCGAGGGTTTTTCAACTTTGGATTTTTTGTGGGCGCCAAGACTAAGATTTCGGCTAATTAGTGAGGAAGACTTCTTTTGTCGATGAGTCAACGGCACTCCCCAGCGCCCTGGACGGCACAAAAGAAGTTAGGCTAAGCTACCATACAGCAATCACGCACTGTCAAGACTTTTCTGACATTTCAGCACGACCTTCGGGAAGGAGTTGGAAGGAGGCTAGAAAGGCAGAGTTTGAATTCTCCGAGGTACCCACAAGTCTGCAGCGCCCAGGTGGCCGGCCTCTTCGAACGCATCAGAAGGACCACTATGTCTTCGGATTTAGTCCTAATGTCGGTAATAGAAGAGCTCTGTTCCCAGTGATTTGCAATTATTCCCAGCTGCCATACACCCGCAAATATCCATTGTTTAGCTGGCTGGACAGGGGAGATAATAAAGGGCAAAGGGCTTCTCTAAGTGTATGATCGAATGAGGACTTATGAGGGGTGGTACTGTTTGAGGGTGTTGAAGCTTTGTCGTGGAGTGATAGACATGAGAGTGAGGTTTATGGGTCACGGTGTATGAGATAACTGAGGTGCGGATGTATGAGTTCCTTACTATTGTTGTTGTACTAGTTAGGGTTGTATTGTCTATATACATAAAAGGATTTCTCCATCTACAAGTGGGCCAGATCGCTTAGATCTGGCTAGCGGCTTCCGCCATCTTCTTCCTTCTCCCCCGCATGGCATCACGTGCTATACAACTACTGCTCACCATGAAGTCCGAGGATGAAAAGCGTTAGATTACAACAGAGGGGAGCTGTATGGGAGATATAGGAGGGAATATACTGTTGGAAGTGGAGATACAGAGTGTTGTGGACGTACGGGCCCTCCATTTCGTCTAGGTTCCCGACACGATCTTGTGTGTGTTAAAGAGGTTGGAATTGGTAATATGGTAGCGCTTCAGGCTACCTATTGGATACATGAGCGGCTGTATGGCGTGGTCACAAGGAGGTTATTTGGGGGTTTTCTATGCCTAGTTGGCGCCACACTTGTTTATATTGTGGCTTAGGCTCTGTGTCGCTTACACTTGTACTTGTAGCTCACACTTCCCGCACTTCTAGCTGTGATCCTATCATGAAACTCTTTTAGTCAACTTCTATTTTCGTTCCATAGATATTGTGCCCATTTCATTGCGCGATATTTCCAACAATTTTTAATCAGAAGGGTATCTTTGACGGGGGGGGGATAACTCAGCTCAGAGTTGGAAAGTTGATACTCCATCTCGGCTCTGCAGACTCTACAGTGAGACCTGGAGGTTTGTAGGGGACCCCACTGACAGGTGATGAGAATAGCCCCCCTAACCTAGCCCTGTATTAAATTACCTATTCGGTATCACAATTGACTCATCCGCTGGTCTTAGAGAAGGCAGTCACGAAGAATCTCGGGGAGCCGTCGCGCAAGACGGCTACTTCGGCAGCACAAGGAATGGGAGGGCGACACACATACGCCTCAATCGTCGCACCGCCAGCTACTTAAGCGGCATTACGGACAAGAGTACAAGAAGCAGAAAATATGGAGCCGGCAGAGCTCCTAGATAAGGCAAAAATACAAATTGAGGGGGCATACGCATTAAGGAAGCTGCGGAGCAATGATACGGAGGTTTTTGTGCATTCGGTCTCCCAGCGAGACGCTGCCTTGATTATGACGCAACCAAAGGAGTTCAGCGTTACAAAGCAGGATTATTCTGTTGAGGTTTTTGGGATGCCCTTGGGGACATTTTCAAGAGGATTGAAAAATCCAAACTATGTCGAATTGTTATGATATGAGACAACGAGGTAGCCGAGGCTAGGGCATTGCGTGTGGCTCAAGGCCACAGCATACATCAATAGTGTACTGGTTAGGCGAGCATGTATATAGTTTCATAGATGTACCCACAATAAATGGACACAGGTTTAGTCTTACACTTTCTGTCCATATACCTACAGCATAGTATTGTATGAGGCTACTCACTGTCAACCACAAATTATAACATCATCCACTCCTCATCACTCCGCAATGTGACTTCCGCATAGCTCATAACCACAACACGAATTCATAAATCAAGTTGTGGCAGAAACAAAAGCTCGGATCCCCGAACTAAACATCAACAGGGTGAGATGGTTCTTTGACGGGAAGGAGCACCGATGGATGGGAAGAAACGGTCATACTCGAGGGTCAATCGTCGCGAGTTTGCGGACCGAGGCACTTCAACGCGAAGTGATAAGAAGTGGCATTGTATACAACTCAATGCTATACACGGCCCAGCTCCGGTCACCCCGAGCGCAAATCAAGCAGTGCTTTAACTGCTGTCAATGGGGGCATACCCAAGCCTCTTGCAATAGGGTAAGAGGATGTCGTGAGTGCGCGGGCACTCACTAGACCAGGGAATGCCCGAGAAAATCTGGACTTACATCACTAGTGTACTGCTTAGACGAGCATGTATATAGTTTCATAGATGTACCTACAATAAATGGATACAGGTTTAGTCTTATACTTTCTGTCCATATACCTACAGCATAGTATTGTATGAGGCTACTCACTGTCAACCACAAATTGCATCATCACTCCACAATGTGACTTCCGCATAGCTCATGACCACAACACACAGTCGTCTCTTTTCAGCACGCGAGGGCAGGGAATAGATAGCGAGGTCCAAAATAATTCTAGCTAGTTCTGTCTAGGACTCAAGGCCAATTGCGCTTCCTATAGGTAACGAAGGAATATAGATAAAAGTAAAAGTTTTGGAAATTCTGACTCTCGAATTTAGGACTCAACCATTACCTATTTCGTCTCAGGTTCCCGACAAGATCGACTTTCTCTATAAATGTCCCGAGTACGCTAATTGCGCCTACTGTCGCCTATACGTCTGGCTATTTACGTACTACAGTGTACCTTGGCTCATCATGGTAGATGAGAGGTGGCTGGTCATCACTAGGTTTGACAGGCACACGAGACTAGCGGGAATTTCTCCCTTAGATGTATAAGTCTAATGTTCCCATAATTGTACAATATGAAGTCTTCTTTACCTCATCAAATTTATCTATATAATATCGTACATAGTATATTTTCCAACAAAAAGTTAATAGGGGGAGGGGGATTTTATCGTAATAGTTTTCCCCTAATGTAAATATATAGATAGGTTCATAGCCGCCTGTATAGGCCAACAGGGCGCCAAATCGGGTCAAATGAATTCAAATTCAAATTGTACTCATCATATACACTGAAGCTGTTAAGGAAAAAATGACCCCTCAGTCATTGAGATTGTAAAGCGCATTGATACAAGTATCTACCGAAGTAAAACTAAGTACAGAATTTTCAGTCACGTGTAGATCAACAACGTGGCCCACTTGATAGCCCCAATTATTCTAAATTCTAACAAAAGCTACATTTTCAGGAGTCGCTCGAGCCAAAAGGCTCCAGGGCCATTACCTCCAGTAGGTCTCCTTCAAACGGAAGCTCATGTTGAAATATAAGTGAACGCAATACACTGGAGCTTTAGTATCAATCAACAAAGAGTGAGATAGATTACTTAATGATAGGATATTTTATAGGCTCTTGTATTAGCTGCTATCTAATCGTCTGGCACGAATGACTATTTCAGACCTAGAATAAAAATATCTATGTACAATCATATACCTTGACGTGTACATCGATATTAGGGTAACATGTTCACAGACCACGTTGTATACCTCTGGTAAATAATGTAGGCTCTCTAGCAGTGCTAGTTTAACCCGGACCCGTACTATGATTGAGATTACACGTATGTCTCGATAATTATATTAATAATTTGAACACCTTAATCTTCCTGGTCATCTGATAATTAGGCAGCAATCATTGCAGTCTGAAAATAAGTCGTTTGAGAGTTTCAGCACGAAGACGCCAGCCTTACCTGCCCATGCGGAGAAGTCCCCCGACCACTTTTTCTATTGCCGCCTCGGGCAGTAGCAGGTACAGCTCTACAGGGCTCAGATCTTCAATTCCGCCGTATCTTGGGCTCTTGCTCCAGCGGAGGGAGTTCATGCATTTAATAGCCGACCAGGTAATAAAAGCTAGAGAGCTTTAAAGTGATGTAACCAATTTCCCTCTTTACCAAATTAATTTTTTTGCTTTGTATTCTCCATTGACCAACATCTGTAAATCATGAGAGACAACGGGAGGCCGATATTCATATCAATTCAAACTTCGAGCACAGGATGATAAGATCCTGGTTTTCATTTGCTTTGTTGGGTCTATGTAGGCGCCAACCCGTCGGGTAGTTTTATTTGGACTGGGCTAACCGGTACGTAAGGAGCTCACGTGCTGTGCGCGGGCACGACGTTAGATATTATAAATAGGTCGTTTGAATGCCTCGGATTTCAAGTAGATAGGGATGTCGTATACAGATGGATAGTTGGATTGGGATGAGTACGGAGATCAGGGGCTTTGGAGGTGCTGATGACTCAGTTATTACTACTCGCTCAATATTGCATACACGATATATGAAATTTATATATAGAGCTTTAAACTTTAGCCCAATCACCTTTGAAACCTCGAGTTCTTTTTTGAACCATTTAGTCTCTTTTCAGCTATCCAGCTGCAATGTAAAGCCAGTGCCATGTATACATGTTGGATGACCCTTTCAACTTTAGAGATATTCATGCTCTGGATTTCATTCGCAAATACTACTTAAGTATGCTTGCTTACACAGACAGTCGACCCCTCGTGAGAACGCATCAATTAGAAGCTTCAAAACCTTTGTCAGCAATACTCATGAGCACCACGAGAAATATGGTGTCGTTTTGCCGGATACAAACCAGTGATCTCCTGTCTCAGGTGGGATATTTTTTTTGAATCATATTGTATTCAGCTATCTAGCTATGACAAAGTCAGACGGGATATGTGTCCGAGCTATCCAGCATCTACTTGGTAGACCGGCGTAGATGGTGTACCGCCGCACCATTCAGCCAAAGCGGTTTTAATGGTGTCATCAGCACTCTCGCTATCGAAGGCTTGGCACGCACAGAGCTTAATTTGAAAAGTTCCTTGCCGTAAGTCTCGGTTTCTCTACTTGAAACATTGTATCCATCCTCCGCATCCTCTTGTTGACTTGCACTAACCTCTCTCACGACCATCCCGGATTTGTGTAACAAGATTGTCTTCTCCGGTGGTTATCCACATTCTTGTGGACGTGCATTCGGTGGCAACCGATCTCGTTGTGAGTGGGAGGTTGATTTGATGGAGTATCTTGAATCATTGCCTCGTGGCCATCTTCTGTACGGCAAAATTGATTGAACCTGGGTCTGAAGAAGTACATCCATCCCAGGTTCGTATAGGATACCGCGGATAGGTGTTGAGTCCTTGTCCTCTGATATCTAGTATCGTGGTCAGAGAAGCTCATAGCTCATTTACAAATAGCTTGCCAAGAGGCTCATAAAGACGGTGCAGGCTTCGGCAACCTGACTCAATGAACACTTTAACCTGTACTTCCTTTGTGATTTACGTTACCAATGAGTATGCCATAAGTAGTGAGTTATCACGTAAACTTAGTTGAGCGTAGCAGCCAAAGCTGGCAGGGTATCAATCGAAGCGCATACCCAGCGCATTTTGTGCAACTTTAGGCTGATTTTAGATGCGTCTTGTTCTTGTCTTCTCCATAGATCCAGTATACACTAAGTCTCCACTTCACCCTGCTTCTTGTGTCCCAATAATTTCTAGAGTCTGGACTCCCAGACGACATACATAACCTCATAATCCTAACAGACCTACTGCTTTCAGGTAATCGCGAAAGAATTTCACAGCATTTGTAGCTCTCAATTCAGGAGACCATATCTCCTCAAGACATTGATCATGCGTCGTATCTAAACATCTGTATACACATCGGACCGTCAAGAAAATCTTTTTCGGCCCTCGAGCATTTGGTCAGCCTGCTACAAGTCGCCACTCAGTCTCTAAACTTCGACACTAAATCCCGTTGTTCTCTCCTTCGTCTTCCCCGCGCCCTTGTCCACTACAGAGTAAGCTTTCACATGGTTTCAGAGGAGCTCAAGCTTTATATGGTATCGGTATCTAAAAGTATAAGAGTCCTAAATCATGTAGATATAAGCTACCATGCACTCCCAGTTTATATTTCGTAAAAAAGCTTTATAATTTTCAAGTCATGACTAGATAGAAGAGTTGAAGCGGGATTCTCTTTCGTCTAAAGCTGGTGGGTTTTGTAGCTGTCTCATGTAGATGCACCCACTTCAGTGCTGTGCTCGATATGTAACAAGATACCCCCATGGAATTGACAAACTTTGCGGTTGGTTGCGAGGGATCATGAATTTCGTCTAGAGCATAGTATCTATTGTTCGGTCCATTGCATAACCTGACAATAATCCGCACAAGAAGGGAAGCGTTACCGTATTCCTACAAGCTGGACCGACAATGACTGGTCAACGGACCATCATTAGCGGGTTGGATGAGTCATCCACTCAATCTACCCCGCCGCCCGACACGCCTTTGTATGAAGTCCAATTAGTGGCCCATACAACTTACACATCCACATATTGTAAGCTAACAACGCTCGGATAGCTTTGTGTCTGTCCCACCTGATTAAATTTAATCTTTTATCTTGTCTCGAAATCAAAACTATAAAATTTCCTCGCTGGCCTCACCTGTATCTTTCTGTAACGTTGTACATCTGCAACATGACTGCAACACTTAACCAAAGGGAATCATCAGGTCGTCGAACATTTTCCAATTCAACCTCTTACGTTGAATACATTCTAGGGATACCCTTCATAACTTGAATGTGTAGACTTTAGCTATACTCCATATATTCTCAACGGGCCCGGCTGTGCTAACGCCCAACATTTTTGCACTTTACATTCATTTCTAACTCTTATTAAATCTTTATTCTATTTCAGACCCTATATTCTATTCAAAAATCAGGTCTAGATAATATCATTGCTAAAGTTCAAGTCATGCAAAATGTCAGACAGATTCTGGGCTTTGCAGTAGTAGTTTGGGCTGGTGTATCTTCTGCGCTGCCAGTTTTACCGCAAACATTTCCTCGGTCTTCCACTCTCGAAGCTAGACAGAATCCACAGACCGGACTACCGGACGGTCTGACAGATGTTGATATCCTAGAATTGTCGGTACCCCAGCCATGATGACCCATTATTGCTTACGGCTAACACATTAAAGTGCCCTAACTCTCGAAAATCTCGAGACGGCATTCTATGAACAAGGATTCGCAAAGTTTCCGGACTCCGATTTTGCAGCGTTGGGCCTCAAAGAAGATGATATCCTAAATCTCAAGTCGATTGCTAAAACTGAAGCAACACACGTTTCTACTCTATTGTCAGCTGTTGCAGCGACAGGAGCTGCGCCAGTACTACCATGCGTATATGACTTTAAGTTTACTAATGCTGCCGCGATGATAGCTACGGCTGGGGTTCTGGAGAACGTAGGCGTCTCGGCGTATGTATTATCTGTTCGGAATCATACAATTGAAGGAAATCTAATCTTTTGGTGATAGCTATCTTGCTGCAGCCCCGCTTGTGAAAAAGCCCGCTATTCTCACTGTTGCCGCTGAGATTCTAACCGTCGAGGCTCGCCATCAGACATTCATTCGTACAGCCTCAAAAGCAGCTGCTATACCTGGCGCCTTTGATACACCTCTAGGAATACGTGCAGTCTTTACAATTGCGGCAAACTTTATCAAGTCATGTCCAGCGGGCTCAAACCTAGCTATTACACCCTTTCCAGCCCTGACAACCATCGCCTCTCAGGGAATGGCGAAGGCCTTTGCTGGATCAGAAGTCAAGGTAGAAGCTCCAGCTGCCACAGCTGCAAGTGCGACTAGCTGTGCCTTTGTAAACGGTGGACAAACTGGCGGTAGTGCCTTCACACCCTTCCAAAACGGAGGATGTGTTGTTCCCATGGGATTAACCGGCATTACTTATGTTCACCTGACAAGTTCGACGCCCCCAGACGGTATTTTGACAGACTCTATAACAGTGGCAGGTCCATTAGTGATGACGATCAACTAATCAAAAGCAAAATACTAAAAAAAATTGAGGACGAATTGTCGCGGACAATATCCTAGTACGCTGGCCGTTTGCTCATGAACATTTCACTCAGACGACAAAAGCGTCCAATTCCGCCACAATTATGCTAATACCACCTTTTATCCAAGGACTCTAAGCGCAATCTACTTGCTAAAAAAGTTTTTAAGTTAAGCTATATCTCAGGCTAATAAGAACCCGAATAACTCGTATTGAGGTTTAAGTTAATTTTTATTTATAGTCTTAAGTATCCAAGATAGATTGCCAAGGAGTATTAAATGCACCCGTTGTATTCATGCTCCATTTATTTGAATCTGTAAGCAAACTTGTGCTTGCACAAGTATCGGCTCCAGTCATAAAATATGAGTGCGATTCGCATGCGCGGATACGGAACCATTGGCAATTGTCAGTGGCATGAATAGGTAGAGGCTTAGATATTGTATTGCTATGATAGACTCGCAGTGAAAATCATCTATCGTTCATCCATGTGTTTGTTCCTGCGCTTTTCTTGGTCACGTGATATTAAAGTAAGCCCTTTTGATGTTTTACATAATCACTTCGTATCTCCTGCGTTGGTGACAAGTCATTCACCCACCTAGTTCTCTTCCCTCTCGTTCGAGATGGGCTAGCCTCGGCTGGTTACCGAAGAAGCCTGGGCAGCTAAATTTGCTTCTTGGCTCCTCCCGTGGTGCAAAGCGTTTTTCTTTAATATGGAGAAAACAAAGTACCTCTCAAAATTTGCCCAATCCGTGCCAACTGACTCATGTCCATGTGAGAGTCCCGCAGTACAGCGCTCATAACACCTTAACAAATTCATTTTCGAGGCCTTCAGGCTCCCAATCTAGTGTTAGATGGTTTAGTATATAGTTGGCACCATGTCCCCAAAGGGATGGGGCCCTAGCCATAGCTGAAGCCCGGTAGACCTTTAAAAATAAATAAAATCTTTTTGTATCTTTTTCTTTCAGCTCCTGTACTATCGGTGGGCTCAGTATACCGGCTTACTCCTCTAGATAACCTTGATGAATCACTGTGAGAGGCTCAAACTTGGGTCGAAGAAAGCAAAAAATTACAGTTCTCTGCCTCACACAATCAACATCAGTAGACCTAGCCCTGAACGCTGGGTTGCCCTCGCCATTGGGAAATGAGACGGGCTTACGAAGATTTTTACGACAGGTTTAAATGAACCAACTTCAGCCTTAAGGAAACAATATTTCCATAGAATCGCTGTTGGATGGCAATACGGGTTTTATTTCCTTAAAAAGTGTGACCTTTTTTGAAATTTTCTCAAAGAAGATTGCTCTCTGTGGGAGGTGTCGCGGATCATGTATAAGAAGCAGTGAGCATTCTCATGGGAGATGGTTGTTCATATTTTGACTGATGGCGAACCATCTGTGGAACTGGTCAGGTATTCGTTCATTGCCTATCATGTCGTCTTCAGGCCTCATTCTCACGAATTATCACGGCTTATTGACCTAGATCCTTCTGGTAACCTCTCGTCTCGTCTCTGGAAGGTTCGCACTACCTTCCTGAAGGTTCTAGTGAGACTCTAGAGGGTTTATTCTTCAGTACTAGAAGTTTCCCACTCTATCTAGATGATTCCCATCATCTCCGCTATGGTCTCGAATATTCCACCAGAAAGATATGCAAAGTAGGCATATCTGAGTAGCTACGAGAATGCTTCTCCGAACTATGATGAGAAGTTGAGGGCTGTCTACGCTAGCTAGCATAGACTACAGGCATTATTCGGTTTACTGACCGTTACAGCGGGAACTTGATGCAACTTGCAGAAATATCTCTAACTTTTATCTTGGAGGGAGATATGCTACATTTCAATTGGAAATCAGACTGGTGGACAGCTGTTTTTTTTACATCAAATGATTTTTTTTTAAAAAAAAAGGTCCTTAGCTAAAGCGCCATGTCCACTATGGGTGCAGAACAGGTGGAGCCGGCAGAGCTCCCTGTACTTTTTCCTACAGCCTAACCAGTTCCAGTTTCGTTAACCGCTGCCAAAGTGCAGCTGATTAATCAGAAACGAATAAAAGCACCGAAAATCAAAACAACTCTGGAAGACAGAAGATTCCCCCACATTGGACCTCAGCCATACCCTCCCCACACATTCCCTCGCCCGTCACACCTTCCAAATGACAACATTACTCAACCCTCCGCTGAGAGCAAGAGATGGGTTAGCAGGCACTTTTGATACAGCCGACATCCTGCTATTGCTTTATACACGCCTGTGAGAGGCATCTTCGAGGCTGCTGTGCCTTCAAACTTCTTCAGACTACAGAACTCCGAAACCTGATCCCTCTGTTGGTAAATGCTGGAGTGATCACTTCTCTACTGTAGTAATGGAGTTGATCGTCAGTAAAAATATATGCGTATATCTTCCTCCTATCTAATTTTAAAAACTGCTTGTATCGGAGGTATGTTCACTAATCATAAAACCAAAACTAAGTGGCAGACTTTCCAGATACAAACGCCAGTAACCTAGCCCAATAAACACAACTACAGAACTATAATTCCGACACCCTCGGCCATCGAGACTTCCTTCGCTGAGGCGATGATTATCTCTTCCGCCATTTTGACTGCAGCTCGAGCACAAGATACCACTGCAAACCTCATTTGCTCGATGTGGCGAATGCACGCGGGCTGCTCTTTTGTCACCGTTCCAGACTTTCTGGGTCTGGATTGACAGCCCAGGGAATCTGATCGGTGAGATCCCCCGCCGTTGCGACATCTTGTGAGGGCCTTGCACCCGGCTTCCGAGTGCATATTTGATCCGCAGCTCCAGCAGGCTGTAATGCGGGAGCAGCCACGAGTAGTATGTAAGCCGAACAGCGTTTGCACCATTCTATTGTTCGACGATGCATCTAGAAGACCCTGTCTATTCTCTTCATAATTTGCCAAAAAGGCAAATCCAGACTTGACTCGACAAGTTGAGTCGATGTGATCGCCGTCGCGAATGTGTCCCTCGACACTAGCTTTAACAACCAGGGGAGATAGTTTCCGCCATGGGTGGTCACTTTCAAGGCAAAGAAATAGTCGTTTGTCGACTTTCGCCTTGGGAGCTTCTTTCTCTGTGGGCTTGGTCACAGGTTGCGGCACAGCCTTTTCAGTCGGGACTGCGTTTTGTCGCAGTCCGTTTTTGGCCACGGTGAGCCAGGTGCTTTTTGGAGGCTGAGCTGGGACGTTGTATATTGGTGTGCTCCTGGCGTCGGGAGCTCGTGGAGGAGAGTTGGCCAGGCGAGGAGAAAGGAAGGGTGTCGTGGAGGCCGGGCCCAAGGTCATTTATTGCGCAATGGCAGCGCATAGGTAGACTCTCATGGAGTCTACAAATTGTCTGCTTGACCCGTTGTTCAAAGGGAGGGGGGTTGCTTCGATGCCAGAGATGGCTGTGGTTCCGCAAAAGACTTACAGGGCTATGGGAAGTCGCACAATAATATTACATAATCATAATGATAGATCACTTCGGCATTGAGGGGTAAGGAGGGATTGATGTTTTTTTTTTGCATCAGATTTTAATTGCGTATGCAGCTATCTAGCTATGACACAATATCAAAGAAAAGTACAGGATAGATGATTCATCGTTAAGGAAGAGCACTCATGCCTCAGATTTCATTTGCAAGTACCACTGCGAAGTTATGGTGGCTTCTTCTTCACCCCAAGTCAACCCTCATCCGTGAATACCCACCCAGGGGAACGTCTCAAAAACCCTGAGTTATCCAGACATGCCTCATCACCTTTCAACTTTTCTCCGCGCGAAATATGGTCTGAGATATCTCCTTCCCAAGTGGAGTAGGTGCCCAGGCTACTCAAACCATACCAGAGAACATCACCAGGAAGCGGACCACAACACCTTCCATCGTTTGCTTGTGTTTATAGTGTTAGCTGCACTCTCGTAAGCGAAGTCTTGGCGCGCACAAAGCTGAATTCGTAAAACTCCTTGCCAAAATTCGGAATCTCATACCCTTTGAGGTTATATCCGTCCTTCGCATCATCTTGTAAACTTGTCCTGATCCCTCTCACGTCCATCCCAAAGATCTATCTCCCAGATTTGTGCACCACGCTTTGCTTCCTCCGTCGGGTGTAAATATCGGCGTGGGCGTGTATATGGTGGTCAACTGAGGCCAGAGAAAGTCGACGAGAGCTATGGTCATTGGGATGAGGATGTACTATGTCGTACTTGTAGACTTGATGAAGTTTAGTTGAGAATCGGACTCTTTGGGAGTGAAAGATTGACATGGTGGAGTAATTTGAATTCTTGCCTCGTGGGCCTACTTCTTTGATGAGGGATTGATGTATTTAGGCGTAGAGATATCCTACACTTAGAGAATAAAGAATTCACGTAATAGTCTCAAGCTCTACACAAGATCCGTTGTAATTAGGAGCCACGAGACACCACGTGATATCACCCCAATCTTACACCCACACCCATTGTATACTAAGTATACAACGCGCGCTCGGAACCTCATGGCGGCGGAACAGAGTGCCAGATTCGCCGCTGTGTCGGCGGCGCGTCGTTTTTCAGCTTCGATAATTGATCGAAGTTCCGGGAAGCATTCTGTTCATGCGGCAGCTTTAGGCTACGACTCTCTAGTTGAAGCTGCTTTTGGTGCAGCTATCTCCGACGGTTTTGATGTGGTTGAAGTAGGTTTGGATGGCCCTCCAATGCCGTGGGGAATAGAGGCTGGTTGAGGAATTTCCCCAACAATTTCAACTGACCCGATAATGTCAGTACCGGGCACAGCGACGACAGGGAGGGCTTATTCCGTCCCTATTATTGAGGTCTTACTCATCTCCACGCATTTAGAGACTAGGCAAGGCCAGGTAATTTTTCGAGAGCCCTCGGACGGACTCTTGCGTTGTCCAACGAGACATTTGGACGCATTTTTCGAACAGGTAGCGTGTTATGAATGCCAGAAGCTTGATCTCAACTTTCGAAGGTGAGCGACGAGCGCGAGAGAGGGGAAATGGGGTCTGGTTTA